TTTGTAACTCTAGTTAAAACTAACAACCCCACTTTTGTCAAAAGGTGGCGCTACTGAGCCCTCACCACGCCCGTTTCTGAAACTTTGCACATGTCTACTGGCTAATAAATGTGATGTGTCTGTCGAGTTTCATGCATTTTGAAGCATGCTAAGGGTCTCAAAAGCATCCTAAAAGCATCCTAAAAGAAGGGTAAAGTTTGATGCGTCGCCACGGCAACAGTTTCAAAGATATCAAGAATCCATTCACAGGTCTACATCTGCCGTATGTTTACATTATACATATGAAGTTTGAAGCAAATCGGGTAAAAATAAAAGGGTGATATCAAAGCATTTTGAAAGTGACACACTTCCTGCTGCCAGTTGGTGGCGCTATAACTTTGACTCACAATAGTCACATCCATGTGATCGTCCTCTTACAGCGAACACACTGCTGAAGTTTCATCAAGATCAGTTAATGTATGCTGAAGTTATAACAAACTTCCTGTTTCACGTTTCTCGCCATGATTTCGTTTCCTCGCCACGGCCAAACCGTTCGAGATATCAAAAATCCCCACACAAGCTTTCATCCTCAATGTCTTGACTTCACGCTGACCGAGTATCGTCGAATTTGGATCAAAGCTCTAGGAGGAGTATTTCAAATAACATTGCGAGCGTTTTACAAACAAACCTCAATAGCCGACTTCCTGTTGGGCTGGGGTAAAAAGTAAAAGCGCGAGGTATAGATGAAACGATGAGATCAACATGCGTACCGAGTTTCATATTATTACATGCAAGCGTGTTTGAGTTATGGACCAAGTGTTCGGACCCCATTCCAGGGGGCGCTGACGAGCCCCCCTGCCACGCCCGGGTACCATCTTCAGCCCGGCTCTGATGGCCGCGGGTTCTGACCCGTGTGCAAAGTTTCAAGAGTTTTCGAGCATGTTAAGGGCCCCAAAAGTGCCCGAATAGTCGTAAGAAAAATAATAATAATAATAATAATAATAATAATAATAATAGAAAAGAATAATCCTAAGGAAAACAATAGGGCCTTCGCCCTTTCAGGGCTTGGGCCCTAAATATAGAACAGAATGAGGTTCAAACAAACAATATTTACTGAATAAAGCATTATTATAGAATGTTAAGATAACAAGTGAATATTAACGTAAACATAAATAAGAAGAAAATAATAAAGTACAACCCTGAACTTTGGCTTTTGGGATTAATTTTGATTCACTCTACAGCCAGGGTATTTTCAGAATCAGTAGCCTATGATTTTTTTTTTTTTTTTTTTTTTTTTTTTTATGCATGTTGAAGCAAATCTTGATTTATTGTTATTTACTGAGAGATTTGCATTCATATTGACCAGAATGTCCAGCTAATCATCATTTTAAATTCAATATAGCCTATAAATCAATAGTCAATCAATGTCAATTGCCAATACATTGGTTTCTATCTTGCATAATTAGTGCAGTTGTTTAGAGTTTTTAACTACACTGAGACTAGATAATCAGTGTCTTTATAATGTGTACTTTGATTGGGAGTGCCATCATTCACGTATTGTAGCCTACAGTATTTCTGGTCTCCACATTTCTGCTTGAAAAATGCGAGTTTAATTTCGTGCATGCGCATATGAACGCAACACACGCGACGCGGTTATGTTTTCCGAGCTGTAGTAAACAAACACTGTTGTTGCACTTTGTCGTTTATAAAAAACAAATATAAATAAAAAACAATAATAAATAATGGTATTTTACTCTCACTTTTGTCAGGCAAAAAGTGATGCAAGAGATGCACTGCCTGCCCAGATCAAGACAAAACCATCAAACTTTGCTGACATCAAACTAGAGAGGAGAGAACACACGTTTACCTGACTGCTGTTCCCGCAATTCACTCTCATGTTTTTCTTCTTCCTCTTTTCGTGACGAGAAGGATAGTTTCGCTTCATTTTGTCATGGACTTCGTACACATTTAGCGCGCGACACGAGGCGCGGCCTGAGTAATTTGCGGTGCCTTGCCATACACACCGGTCGCATGCAGTCTATGGTCGCGTGCGGCACTGCAGCCACGTAAACAGTTTGACTTTCCCTTTCAGTGCCCGAATGGAAGTGAATGAGGCTTTGCGATTTTTATATTATTTTTTTGTCTAGGCCTACGTGAAATTCTACATCCATTGTACGATTTTTTTTCCTCGGAAGGGCAACCTGAGTCGAGAAAAGCATATGGGCAGTTGGCCGGGCAACCTGAGCAACCCCCTGTGCTGCACGTCCCTGAAACAATGAAATAAAACAGAATTATTAAAATGAAATTTGGCAAAAATCACTAACAAATTGCTCAGCATGACCTTAATAAAGGGTGTCAACTTGAAGGTAATCTTGATTTTGGTACTTCTATGATTTGATTTGATGTTTTAAAATGAGACAAACCAGCTAATGCAACAGAAAAACATGATTCATCAAATCCATTGCTAATAGTTAAAGAAAGATGTTAAGATGTCAAGGAATTGCCTTTTTTTCTTTGAAAGTGGAAAGGGGCAAATTTATGAAATGCTTACCGATTAAAATGATACCAAGAAGACATGTTTGGTTTGAACATTTTGATTAGATTAAGTAAAAATGAATAGGTTCATCTTAGAAAGAGCCACGGACATTTAAAATTATTGTGATATTAAAAGAAAACTCATATGATTTCCATCTTTACAAATTGTGATTTAATTTATTCACAACTGTATATGATGGAAGCATGAAAATGCACTGCATGACACGAGTGACCCTGGTTGGCTCAATCCTAACAGTTTATCAATAAGTAATTAAATTATACAAAGAGATGTAAGTTTCTTCTTGTTTCCTTCTCTCTCCATTCACATTTTGAATATGTGGCGTTTCCCAGGAATATTGTGCCCATTCAGCTGGAATGAATGAAAGATATTATTCCTCAGTCGTGTGTTGTGTAGAGCAGTGTGTTCACTGTACTAAGCATGAGTGATTTTATACTGCTAGATATTGTCATTGCTCAGTAACACATGTTTTACAACTCAACCATGAACAATTTTGATTGCCCTTCAGATTAAAATATAAGCACACAGCTATACATAATATCATACGTGACGTTCTGCAGCTGAAAATTTACAATCTCTTTATTAGGATACAATTGGAAATGCTTTTTGGACTGAACCAGAGTAAAATCTGCATTAAACACATTGATGGTAAAGTCACACCACAAACAGTGTGTATTTCTCTCTGAAGTTGTTTACAATGACAAAGTGATTCATTCGCAAAAGAGCTTAGTCTAATAATCATTGACTCACAAATATTTTATTACCATATATAACACCATAGAATAGAAAACAGACACACACTCATGCAACTTTGCACAGATACACTTCAGTGCATGTGTGCAGAAACGCACTCGGACATACACGCGCACTCTCGCGTGCACACACAAACACACACACACGCACACACTCTTACATACCATTACAGGAGACAAGATCAGAAAAGAGGGAAAATCACTTTAAAACATGACATCCTTTCAATATTTGTTTCCTTTACTGCCATAGAAAGAAATAAGGAACAATATGTCCATAAATCTTGCTACAGTGTTCACATCACATAAAAAGAAACTAAAAGGCAAGTCCTCATTGATGAGGTAAAAGATACGTTAACATGTAGTTTAACACAATAAACATTGGAATTGTTACAGACTGAGGACAAATGTGTGACAAAATAATGTCTATGATTATAGTATTAAATAGCTGCCCCATAACATTAGATACGTCCATCTGATAGAGGATCCTTTCAATGCATATATTCATTCTTGATTATCCAATAAGTGCCTCATCACCATCATCATCATCATCATCATTATCTACTTGGTACAATAAACGCCTGAAATATATAATTTAATATATTCAACGTTATCATTAATTAGCACAGTGTAATTTTAAAGTCATCTGGCTGAATTGTTTCATTCTTTATTCAAATGTGATAGTTTGGGATTGCTATGATAACTTGATTTTTGTTTTCTGTTAAATGTGTGAAGGACTCATGTGGATGTTTGCAACCTTTGCTGGCAATTGTTAAACAAATCTGTCAAATGATTTGAGAATCTTCTCAAACATCTTTAAAAATAAGCAATAAAAAAAATAAGTCTATAATCGTTTAAAAAATTACTAGAATTCTGCAATTTGCACACACAAAAAATTATTCACATGAGGCAATTATGAATAATTATCTTCCAGTTACCGTCCGCTTTTATCTAGATTAAAAAAAGGGATAAAATTATTATTTTTATTAAAATTCTGTATTTTTTTTTTCGATGGGAACCTGTTGCCTGTTATTGATATTGACAAGCTTTTGAAAAGAATAATAATTTTTTTTTTGTTTAGTATGACGCATTAAATACTATTTAAAGGGGGTAATCACTGAAAATAATACACCAAATTGAGTGTAATAATGATGGGTAATATTTGGCTATGCAACTTTTCCATAAACTGAAGTTGAAATCAATCCATACACGCTTCAGATTCAAAATTTAGCAGTGAATAAGACTTTTCAACTTTAACTGGATGAAAGTGAAGAAACCCTAAGTACAGTACATTTGTTCAGCACAGTTAAGTATTTATTGAATAACATGAATTCAGGACAACACATTTACATGCCTGCATGCTTCCTCACCATAGTGGCAGCGAATTGAAAGAATGATGGCTCAGAAACAAAACAAATCTATAAATTCAATATAAACGTTGGCATTGTTCTTCTAATAGATCTACTGCATACACAATACCAACTTTTAACATTATATACAAATACCAAAGTGAGTGAGTTAACCTATCTTCTGTTCTTGTATATACAATAATGATAGAAATGAAACTTGATTGTTTTTTTCTTCTAGTTTAGAAAACATTAAAAGCAAATATTAGTCGTTTCTGTTGATCAACATATATTCAAATTCACATTTTCAGAGGTTCTTCTCCAAGTTTGGATCCTTAACATCTTGGCAAATAGTTATGACATTGATTTATGTTCTTTTTTTAATACAAAACAAAACCTCTGAATCAGATTTAATTTTTCGAAGCTTTTTCGCTGGTTTAAATACAGTATAAAAAATCTTCAGTGCTGTGAATTTGTTGTAAATATTATCATCGAGTGTACCAAATGGTACATTTTACTGTGCTCAAATTGTCACCTTCGCCAACTCATCATATCCATTCCCACATCTGGCATTATATAACGTTTATATCATTGAGAATAAGAGTCGTAATACTACATTCGAACACAATTCGTCTTCCACATCGGGCCAAGCATAAACCCTTGATGCACCTCTACGAGCGATTGACCTGTTTCTGTAACTAAATTACCCTGCGAAGGGACTCTGGAGAATCTTCATACGATACACGCTGCCAGTCTTCAACACCATGCTGTTAGTACATCACTGTGGTTTTCAGAAAGAGTCTTCCATCTGCTATTGATAGAGGGAGAGACACAGTAAGTATACAGAACAGAGACGAAAAGCAAGGATAAGTAACAGTGATGCAATGCAATTGCACAAATTACACCTTGTGAACCCTGGATCAATGTATGTCACATTTAAAGAACATGATATTGCCCTCATGATGTAAGGCACTTCACAATTGACACTTTATATGCATAATTGGAATATTACAAAAATAGCAGCCTTTATTTTGTAATTAATTTTTGGACATGTATGAGCTTTGTCCATTTCCAGCGAACCTTCATTGGCAAGTGCATGCCTGAATAGGTGGCAGGTCTCTTTGCCTCTTCCGGTAATAGCATCTGTTAAGCATGCATGGCTCAGAAGCTTGTTTGACATTCATTACCAGAACATTTCCTCTGTCCGGGAATGCTGCATCACTGCATTTAAGGAGTGTTTTCTCTCTTAGTCGGTGCAAATAAAATGATATTCCGATAAGCAAAAGTTCGGACTAATCGAGGTTGCTCCGTGTTGGAATTGGTTGAAACGAGATTTGATGTGACAGATACTGTATCCACTGTGCACACACTAAAAAAAATGAGGACCTAGGAAGGTTGTGCACTTTACATAATAAAGTTTACTTATAATAATTGTGTTTTTTGACTTGAAATGTTTCTTTTCTATTAAGGTCTGTGTAATTGTGTCTCAACTTAACAGTACAAAATCCTAACGCATTGTCTAAAAGTAAAGTAAAAAAAAATTGTACATCCAGAGGGTGGCAGTATAGTGCGAGACAACTGCCATTTTGCCCGAACTTAATTTTATTGTGTTCAATCTGCTTAAATATATGTACAACTTAAGTTTACTTAATCCATTTGTGTTGGATTACATGATTGATTTGTGTTGCATTAACTGAAACTGGGCAGTTCTTTTAGTTCCCAGCATGCTTTGCATATGGTTAAATTAAGAGAGAATAAATGTTAAAATTAAGTGTTATGTTTTTTTTTTTTGAGAAATTTAGAAAAGGAGAAGACTTGACAGTGTAATAGTGTTTAATGTTAATGTCATTGGAATTATTAAACCATTTAAATTACAGTGGGTTACCATTGTGGAGAGGAGTGGAGCATTTTGTTTGGCTGTCGACTGATTTTAATATTTTCTATTGATTTGGAAGAAGAAGCGTAAATCTTAGCATTCAAGATGCTAATATGTGCTACTGCTAGCAAATAGCTAGCTATAGTCTTATCAATTTAATTAAATGAAATATAAATGGATGAATTAATATAATAAAATGCATCAATCATGCCAGGAAGCCTTTAAAAATTCAGGTTGAGACTACTTAAATTGGGTAATTTAAAATTACTTAATTCCATGATGTTGAAGTTACATGAACAAATTATGTTTGTTTAACGTAATTCAGTTATGTGGAAACTATTGACAAAAAAAAAATGACAAAAAAAATTAAAGCCAACATATAACTTTTTTGAGTGTATGTGTGTTGCCATACTATTTATATTGTGCCTTTTTGGGGATTGCACAGAGATAACACAGATATAAAATCATTTTGATTTTATGTAAAGAATAAGTATTTTTTTTCTTCTACTATTAGACATACATTCCTAAATCTATGCTTTGTGATTTAATTTAACTCTGAAATTTATACATATTGATTCATGTGAATCCAGTAATCTGATGAACATTGATTAATTGCAGCTTGCGCATGAAGCTGGAAACATGCCTTATTTTGTATGCGTTTTGCCATTGACCCGGCTCATACAGGTTTAAAAGGGCTAATATTGTGATCTTGATAAATATTGAACATAATCATTTCTATCGCTCTAAGCTCACAGGGCATTTTAAGAGCTTCATCCACATTATCTACCTCATTATATAAATGCTATATACATATTTATTCAAATCGTGATAAATGCATGTGATTTTGATTGCCTTCATTTATCAGATTGCACCATATTTGGTGCTGGAGACAGTATTTTGAAATCAGACAATAACAGCAAACCCTAACCCTAACCCCAAAAAACCCAAAACTATTATCTTAAATTATTTAGAAAATATACAATTAAAATATTAAAATACCAGTCAAATTTAAACAACATGCAAAAAACGACAACAAAAACAAGCAGAAAGCTAATCTTAAATGTACAAATTAGCATATTAATTCTGGGTCAAATGGAGTGTAGCTAAACTAGCGTGTGCAGACAGTGACAGGAATGTTTCTTGAGTGGAAAAAATCGAATGACTGCCATGTTGTTTTATGAAAGAACCCCTCATTAAAATATGTTAAAACTTTGCCATTTTTATATTCAAATCAAGATGAAAAGTTCATTAAAGAGGATAAATATTTCATTAGATACTAAATAAAACAAAGGAATTTTTGGCTTCTCTCAGCATAAAATTCCTTTGAAAGATTAATTAATACATGTAAATTATGCAAATTATGCCCATGCAAATATTTTATGAAGACAATTAAGGGAACCATTAATTACTGCCTTTTTTGCTTCAGTGACATTCATTCATTTAATTTTAATTTCACTTTAACTGTTTTGATGTTTAATCTTGCAACAAAAAAAAAAAAAACTTTATCTCCCCTCACAGGGTCGTGTAAACTTGCAGAAAACATCGAGAGGCGCGTGCTGAGCATCGGGAAGAGATACCGGGGAGATATTATGTTCGGTATCAGAAGGAATTAGTGGCGAGATGTGCTCCCAGAAGCAAGGAGCCAGGAAAAACAGTCAAGCTTATTCTTGGAATGGATTCAAAACACTGGAAAAGCAATTAATAAACACAGACAGTGTTAATATAGCAGAATTACAGAGTGTGACAAAAGACAAATAGAAATAATTAGTTCTCTGAAATTATGCTCTCATTATTATTATTTTTTTTCCCAACAGCCAAGTGCTGAAATTATAACATGTCTCGGTTTTCTTTTTGTATACAGATTGGAATAGAATTTTTCCCTCATATGCAAGTGTAATTTATCAGCACCCTTTTTTTATGTTTTTGCCATTTAAGAGTAATTATGCCACACTGGTTGTAGTCCACAGTAACCATGACATGAACACAGAAATAATTGAACAGACACGCTATTTTAATACATACACAATTCCCGTGGCCAGTTTTTTAAGTCAATTCTTCAAGGGCACTGACCATAAAACCTATGAAATGATTGCATCTTGAGGAGCAATAACTACAGTCTTGTCAGTAAAAACTGTTTTTCTCCAGATCATATGACCTAAATATCTTAAATTTCCCAATATGTCTGCTCAAAGGAACTACTGACTAAATCAAGTAGTGATGAACACGTTTCTCTCCTCTCCATGCTTATTCCAACTTTAGCAATTAATGCTGGAAAATTATTAATCTTTAGACATGAGAACCATCATAATGCTAATGACATTATACGCTGTGAAAAAAAGAATAATTTCCTGTTCATCAAGTCAATGTCACTCGATTTAGTTGGGCAAAATCATACTCCTTGCACTGGATCTCCATTTATTTTTACTAAAAACTTCCTTCACACACACACACAAAAAATTAACTAGGCTAATCAAACTGGGTTACGGGGCTTTTACTTGCGACGGGGTATTAAAATGCCATTTCCCACATTTCATAGCAATTTCCACACACTATTTTCAAAGGGAAATTGAGACCACTCAAGACGACGTTTTTTTTTTTTTTTTTTGTATCACATGTGCTGCTGGGTACAATTAAAATAGACATCAGAGCGATGAGCGACTTAACACTTAAGGTGTAGTTAAAAGAGTGTGACTGAAACGTTCGCAAATGGACACGTGGTTTTCTGTGAAACGATACCAGACTAGACCGGGTCCATAAATACCCATAAACCAATAAAGTGTGTGTGTATTTATTTGAGTGGGTGTGTTGTGCTCCACTGTGGGTCATCTTCAGATAATGAAACTTCTTATTATGCTCATTAAATTGGATTGGCCTCTGAGGTACACAACAGAAAAGGTCTTACTGTCAAGGGGGTCTATCTTCTATTCAAAGATTCTATCCATATAAAATTAACCTTTACCTCCATATATATAATCTGTCTATTATAGAGTAGGTACATTTATAAAGAAAGTCAAACATGTACAAAACAAAATTGGACCCCATTGACTTTCATTGCATGAGAAGAAAAAATACATTTTGTGCTCTACAGAAGAAAGAAATTCATACAGGTTTAGAAGTAAATGATGAAATAATATAACATTTTTTTTTTTGGTTGAACTATCTCTTTAATAATATTTTAATACATCCCTGCTGGTAAAAACTTCAAAACAAAAGTACAATTTTAATTGACTCAGTGGGCTTGTTTAATGTTTAATCTTCTCCTCGTTCCTAGTTTAATATCTCATCCAACTCCTTCAAATCTCCAACTCAGCAAACCATGCCACTGTCATAATTTCAAATATTTTCTCTGTCTAGAAATGTTTTCTTCACAGATCTTGACCTTTGTCTTGAACTGTAGGATCTGCGGCCCAGATGGCAGGCTGCATGCATGAACAGCAGGCCGAGTTAAAGCGAGGCTCATATACCGGAGCTGAGCCCAGATTTATAGTCTCTTGAAAAACACGTACCTTGTATTGTCCTCTCAGCATCTGTTCTGCCACTGCTGCGGTCAGTCTCTATCTCCTGGGTCAACGAGTCTGGCAAAATGAAAAGATAATGACGATTAAACATCCATGACATCTGTGCTTAATTAGGAAAGTTTTCTAGCCTCGTTTTTCGTGACGGGTGGATGTGCTCAGCCAGATAGCTCGGGTCAGGGCAACGTTTTGACCAATGGATGAGCAGTGTTATGAATACTGAACAGGGAATTTCGCCACATGTTACCCTGATCTTATAAATCTTGCTTGGTACAGATGTAGACTATACTTGTTTCATTCAACATTTGAAACCTTTTAGGATGTAATAAAAATGCAGTGTTATTTCAATATTATTTATATGCTTTTCTAGAATTTAAAAATATCTTGAATCAGCTTTTTATGTTTAATTTTAATGTTTGTTATGTGCTTTTATAATTTAATGCTATTTTCACATCTCTATTCCGTTTTAATTATTTTGATATTAGTTTTAGTCATTTTAGCACTTTTTATTTCAGTTATATGACAAAGCAGCATTTTAATTTTTTTTTTTATGTTCATACATATTATATTTATATTTTATTTTATCGAAGCATTGTTTAATTTAACAAAAAAGATAAAACATTTAGTGGTTTTGATTTAATTTTAGAAAATTTAACAACACTTTGCTCAAAATACTTTGAGCAAACACTCAGAATGAACCAGATTTGGAAAAGAAAATGCTTGTTTTTATGTTTTTTTTTTTTTTATCGCACACTTCATCATATTGCAAAGTTCTCACATTTTATATCAGCATTTTATACAGATTATTGTTATCATGACCACTGTTTACAGTACAATTTATCCCAAACACACTTTCTGGATAAATGTGCAAGCTTCAAATCTCTTTTATGATTGCACTTTTTTTCTGCTTCTTCATAATATTATTTTACTTAATATTTGATGGCCATATATGTATTAATTTGGATCATGTAGTCTACCGGGTCATTATCCCGAAATAAACCCTTGCAATGAACAACCCGATGTGAAGGTTTCGTTTTGTAGTAATCTGAAGCATATGATTATTCTCAGCAAATGAATCAAATATATTTGACATGAAGTGACCTTTATCAACATTGCAAATTCCATATCTAGGAATCCACATGAAATGGCAAAAATACACCCTTTAACAAACTGAAGTATGTCAGCGTTAGACAGGTAAGTTGTCTCACCATTGAGTGATCTGAGACTTTCTGTGGGTGATGTCTGTTTCAGGGTCTGCTCCACCTGCTCTCGTCGTTTAGACTCATACTCCAGTGCCTCCTGCAATTTCCTCTTCGCTTTCTTCTCCTTCTTCAATCGCTTCTGAATGATCGCTGTGTGCAAAGAACACAGAAAAGCAGCAGTCAAGGACCCCAGTCATTTGCAGAGCTGGATTAAAGGATGGAGGGCTGGTTTTTCAAACTCGGTCAGTGAGGAAATATTCATAGAAAAGTTGCAGCTGAAAAAAATGTTCAATGAGAAATTGACTGTGTCATTAGCGAAATAATTGAGCCAGCGATAACCTGGATTAACCTAGGTTAAAATGCCAATGAGACGAGGTTAAGGGAAACTTTCTGTAAAGAAGGAGAGGAGAGAGGCACGCTGAATATTAAACAGAAGAAAGCTGGAGGGTTGTAGGCACATTTATAAGGAAACTGGCTTAATAAGCTCAATTTGATTCATTATGTAGGATAAATACATAGAATATGAGACTATTAAATCACACTTAACAATACTTTTGTGCAAAAACACTTTTTTTAATCATTTATTGATGCCAAAAATGTAGATTCGTAATTATATGTTCATGCAATAATAAAGTAAAATAGAGTATGTAACTAGAGGCCATCTGTAATACACATATCACTTTTAATCTCAAAGAGAGTTGAAAATTATTAGCTAAACTATTATCAATCTGTAGTCCAATCATGGCCTTCCCTCGAGAAATATTGTGGCTCATTTAGAAACATATACATTACTTATTCATATTTCCATGAGTTCAACCACATTCACTCGATTGAAAGCTTTGTGCAGTATATCTTTCATTTTCATTGTCTATGTATGTAGTTACTGTAATGTACTGTATTCCCAAAAGCATGTCTGCACACATAATCAATATGTGCTTTGTATTGATCGTAATGTGAATATGCCTTATTCTGCTCGATTTATGACCTTGTCTCTATTACTTTGTTTTGTGTGCTTGTAATTAACAACTGTGTTTGTAACATGGATGTTCAGGTTAATTTAATGCCCTTTTGCACAAATTGTTCTGTTGGGTTTTGGAAAGATGTACTTTTTTTTGTGGGTGGTTGGTTTATGGCTTATAAGCCCAAGACAAAAAAAGGCCACCAAAAGTCTCTGATGAAAAACTGATGCCTAAAATTATTTCAGTCACATGATCCTTTAGAAAACATTCAAATATGCAGACTTGAATGGCGGGAAGGAAAAAAGTAAAATTTTGAGCAAAAAGCTGAGAAAAACACGTTTTTTTTTTCAAAGACGACATCCAGGGGTGCGTTTCCCGTACAATGCCGTAGTTCACTGTTTCACTACCATAGTACGATGCATCTTTGGAAAAATCAACTAGCTAGTCACGACTGTTTCCCGAAACCCACTGTCGCAAAATATCGTTCAACCCTGTTGGTTTCGCACATGGTGGAGTAATAACTACTCTTAATGAAACTGTTTGAGATCCAATTAACGTTAGATTTGTTAATATAAATTCTTAGGACTATGTCTAATTGTTCTCAGTTATTTTGATTTATTACCAGACTCAATATTTGGCGCGTTCTTACATAGTAGAACACGTTCGCACATTCGCACTCTTCAAACACGTTACGTCAAATCTTTTGAAAAACTAAAAGACGTAAATTACATTTGTATGTATTCTAAATAAAAGGCACGGTTGTACTGAATGTCAGCTTGCTTGTTTTGCTCAAGATAAAGATTTATTACCTCCAAATGTCATGCAATATAGAAACGATGCCTCTAACCACAGGTTGAGAGCTGTCGTTCAAACCATATAACTTTGCGATGCTGTTTGCGAATGTCAGTTGGAACGATGGTTTCGGGAAACACCGAATCGTTAAACTATGCAGATAACGACGGAACTTGCGACCATAGTTGGCTAACGATGCTTTCGGGAAATGCACCCAAGATTGGATTCCGAATGATGTTTAAAATATAGATGAAGTAGATCGAGTCTATAAACACCCCCAAAGCTTCCATAGTCCTATGCCTTCTTGGGTTGACATATCACTCAGTAGGCTAACATTAGACAGTTTAGTGCTGTTTAATGTTGATGGTCGCATTACTTTAACACTAGAACGGCCACAACGGTCATTTTGACCGTTTTGAATTTTATATCTACAATAACTTTGTTGAAAAAAAAATAATAGAATCCTGCTGGTACCTGACTTTTCCTAAAATTGTCTGTATTTTCATTTAAAATGATTTTCATATAAATTAAGTTACGTAAACGTAAGGCAAAACAAAACAAATGAACATGTTTACCTATTTCGGCCATAGACGGTCATATTGACCGCACTGAATTTCGCGATATTTTTTTTGTTAAATATCCCGCGGTTGATCGTGGTCTCTCTCTCAACTGTCAACAGAAAGGTCCGTCCGGTCACCTCTGTAGTGGTGTTTGCTTTATAATAATTTCTACATTAGTTGTTGATCAGAAATATGCAAACAAAACCAGACTAAAGTTATCAATACTTGCGTTATAGGCTATATATCATCAGAGAGTGATTCAGAGTCAGAGTTCACATCAAGGAAAAAGAGACGGCTGCTATCATCAGACACGGTGGATCCAGATGTTCAATTCATATCGGATGATCTTGGTGAGCTCTGCTGCCCTGTCCTGCGCTGTTTGTTTTGCTGCATGGGCTGTTCACTAATTCTGCTAGTCCTATTATTATTATTAGCCTATTGACCGCTTCGCATATCGTCACATTTTCGTCATAGTTTTTGTCATTCAAACCTAGTTTTTATTTAGTTATCGTCTCGTTTCCATCTTTGAAAAAATGTGGTTGACGAAAATAATTACGAAAATTATTCGTCAAATAAATAAACACTGTTTTGAATCTAACGGTCAAAATGACCGTTTGTGGCCGTTCTAGTAGTTTTGGAATTCTGGCACTTCTAGTGTTAAATATGCATCTGCTTACATATGTATTGCTTGTTTCGGCTTCTTCCTTACCTGTGTTTTGATCAGGAGATTTTGTTATCTTTCATAAGATGTCTAATACCATATAACAGTGAAAATGGATGCCAGCCGAACTTAGCCCGCCCACAACATTTGAGGTCGGGAAGTTTGGTCTGAACTTGAACTTTATTATTATTATATTTCATTAATATAGAGAATTCAAGTTCAATCAATAAATGCATAAATCAACGAGCATGCAGTTGTATTTGTCTTGATAGACCACTAGAACATAGAAGAAGAAAAGTAAAAAAAGAAATAGGGTGAGGATCTTTGTACAATAACATAAAAAATTCCAAACGGAAAAAAGTTTCATGGCATTTCTGTCCGTCAGTTCGGTGGAGCAACTATGCTCGAACCAGAGCTGTTCGGACCAATCAAACTGTTAGGGCGGGCTTTATACGATCATCAACAGTAACGTAATAATCCACGTCACCAAAGAGGGCTCGGGTTGAATTCCTTTACAAGAAAGAATGGCTGCCGCTGAAGAATTGAGATGTGTAGATTCTGCCATTGCGTCTGTTATATTGACAGTGCATTCATTTTAAAAGAGGAGCAGAAAACCGCAATCAAGAGAAGTCGCTCTGGTTGTAGGTCTATCCAATCTAGTGCAGAGGCATTTCCTTTCCTGGCTGAAACGCTTCATAATCAGAGCCTAATGGAGCAGTATCAGACTCATATTCTGACTATAATCTGAGCATGACGACGTCAGGCTAGGAAATTTCCGTCAATGGCGGAGAAAGAGTTTAGAATTTGTTCCTATGACTTAATTAATTCAATTGTTGTAGTAAATCGTGGTCAAATTGAACTAATATGTTTGATTTAATTAAAACAAGGGAACAAATTATTCCAATGTGGCCACAATTTAGTAAAATGGGACAAATTATTATAACATGCACAGGGCACTGGATTTACTTAAAATAAGGGAACAAACATTTGGGACATACAGTCTTAGTTGTGGGAACAAATTGATAATTTGTGGCCACAATATACATACTGTTTTTGGTCCCGCATGTCAAACCTGGGGGTCGGTATAATTATGGTTGTTGCTTTTGCATTATTGCAAAACTTACCCAGAGTACCTTTAGTAACTGCCTAGCAATCTTGTAATCACCTATATTAGCATTTGACTAGCAATACCATGACACCAGCCACAACGACAGCAACACACATTTTACTCAGAAATGTATCTAGTTATACATTTTATCACATAAAATTCTGTTGGTTTAATTTTATAGATAAGTCCTCAATGTAATTAGTCCAACTGAGAATACTTTATTAAGCTGATTAAAATTAAGCAGTTGACATTAAAAGATGGCACCTGTTATATTTTTGTAGTGAGACAAAAAGTCCTATTATAAATATAACTGATGGGGCAAAATATAATTTCTAAAATAGTACCGTAAAAGGTTTTGCCTTTTTTTCATTAAATTTCTCAGTAACGCTTCCTTTTACATTCCAGTTACCCATGTAAATCCTATGTACTTATTTTAGTAACTACAATTATGGGTAATAACTAGTACTAACCCTGAACCTACCCCTAAACCTACCCCTGTTCCATGTACTTATCTTATATTATCCAGTACTTTCTAGGTAAGTACACTGCAAGTACTGTACTGTAAAAGGAAGCGGTACCAATTTCTCTATAACCAAGAATCAAACTACAGGTGATATACAAATTGTGTGTACTCTTTGTTAGGTTTGTGTGTGTGTAATACACACCTCTGTTCTTCTGCTCGACAGCCAGTTGTTTCTCCAGGGTTTCTCTGAGCTCTCGCTCTCTAAACAGCTCCATCTTTAGCTCTGTTTTCTCCAGCTGCACTTGTTTCTCCTGAGCGCGGGCGTTATCAATTGCCACCTTCAGCAAACCCTTCAGCAGCAGCAGGAGACAAACTCACGTTATACAAAGTCCACACACACCTATTCAGGAGTCAATCAGCTATATGAATGCTTTATTTTTCATACAGCAACATGTCATGGACACAATATAAGCTTTAATTAAACTATAATTTCTGTTTGTCAGTTTGTGAAGCAGAAGATCGTATAAGAGCGATCAAATCTTGAACTTAACACCAGCTTTGTCTCAAAACAACACTTAAAAAGGTATTTGTCGTGCAAATAGCTCGGTGACCATTTCAAAACAATTATTCCCTGTACACATGCAATTAAGCCAAATGCAATGGGCTATATCATACTAATTGTTCCTTCGTATGACCCCAATTTAGACTAAGTTGCTTTATCTCAATTTTCTGCTTGGGTTCGTTTTGTTGATTTGTGTGTGAATGTTCAATCAAAACATTACCCTGAAATCATGATTAAAGATGACTGACTGAACTGAGTCCTGCTAATTAACAATGGGGCCGAAAGCAACGCGATAGATCTGATGGCCATATCACAAGAGCAATGAGCAAACCTCTCACTCCCCTTACTGTACCCACATCATTAGTCTCAGAGGTGGTGTTAATCAACTACATTCATCTTTCTGACTGGGTCTCACTTGCATGCCAACCACAGTGGTGATCAAGGGAGTCGCGGTGAATATATGCGGCTGTGCATTTGTTTTGATGGGGAAAAACATCAGCTGGAGGAGCACCCAGAAAACTAGTATATTAACTTTTTTACACACCTCCCACAGGCAAAAAAGGCACATCTTATTAAAAGTAATTGTTTTTTGATGCATATTATTCTAACATGCTGATTTGGTGCTCGAGAAAACAAAAAACTTCTTATTATCAATATTGGAAATTGTTTGTTTTCCTCTTTTGAAAGTTGCTTTGAATAAAAGTATCTTCTAAATAATTAAAGGTAAACAGCATGAATATTTCTTACAGTATGAATGTTTGACTTAACCTCAAGCATGATGCTAATATCGCTGCACATCAGCCTCCATTCACAATATTTTCCAGTGGCTTTAGACTGCCATAAATTGTGATAAACGACTTGATGTGTCATCTCCTCCCATTATGTGTAATCTTCAGAATCACTGGTGTTCACTGTGTTATGACACATGACGTGATAAGATCGTGACATGTGTCAGCTGGCCCGTCCACAGTGGGCTAAAATAGATCGTTACTATAGCAAATAGCAGATAGCCTGCTAAAATTCAAGGGAAACATTTTATTGGAATCATATTACTCAATTATGACCTCTTTTTTTTACTTTTATAACTAAATACTGAGAAGTCCAATTCAACAATGTGGTTATTGAACATTTATTTCAGATAAAGTTTCTTTGAATGTCTTATACTTAAAACTCAACACTCGATACCATTTTCAAATGTCCATTTGAGGGAAATTGAGTCTTACCCTGCCTGAACCAGCCTGAAAGCCTTTGTTGGTCCCAACATAACACATTTTTTTGTCGTCAATCATTTTATTAATGCTTTGTGAATAGTCTGACCAATTTGACCAATTCACTAATTAGTAGTTAAAAGACCATCTGAATCAACCAGTGAGAACTGGATCAAGTAAGTACTTATTTCACCTTCTGTTAAATATCTTCTGACAGAGAGGTCTCTCACCTGGATGTTAGTCAGAAGGGTCTCTATAGACGACAGCCCATCAGGGAAGAGGAAGGGTGAGGGGAATCCTGGAGGTAAAGTCTGACCTGCAAACGACAGCCTCTCATAGCCGTCTCTCGCAGTCGGCGTGCACATGGGGGTTTCTTCTGGTGGCAAGCAGAGCAACATACGCATTCAGCACAACAGAAGACACAATTCATGTAGTACTGTGCTGTAAAATAAATCATTATTTTCTTGAATTGGTGTTTATACACCCAGATTGTTTGTGAGATGTAAAATTAACATCTATACAAGCATGCCCAATCAAGCACATATGATTGATAGCCCATTCTGTCAGTGTCACGCGGCACTCTATTATTGATGCTTCTGTATTTATAGCCGCTATAAATGCTTGAGAGATTTTACATACAGAATAAAATGAGAGGCCCTTCTAAGAAATAGTCATTTGCATTTTTGGAAATTATGTTTTTCTCGGTAGCATCGAGGGCATGGATATGTTGGGAGACAAAGCCCACCCGTTCCATATGGCACGAAAACTCTCTGATAGGAAAAAAAAAAAAAAATTGCACTCAAGCAGATGCATATGGCTAGCTGAGATTATCAAGGGCCCTGGCTTCTCAACAAAGGCCATATGGCACAAGGTGGTGAACCCTCATTGACCATGTTTCAACACTACTGCCGCCCCCTGAGCAGACTGGCAATGCCATTCTGGGCAAATGAATTAACTCCCTCAAAGGAATCGGTGCATAAAAAATCAATATGATTGGAAGAGATTCAAGAGGAACCTGGTAGAGCAAAACAGAGGAGGAAAATAAATATCATTTATTTTCTCTCAGTCGATGGTTGACACTTAAATGTGCAGGTGTAAAATGTCACAGGTGGGGCTGCCGTTAAAGCCCTCTGGAAATAAAAGAAAAAAGGATTTTATGTCTACCAGACAAATAAAAACAGGGGCTGGCACATTAAAGAGTATATATTTTATCACCTAGTCCACTGGGACTTCCAGCTGAATGTCATAAGGAGAGAAAACGCTGGGATGAGCACTGTAAAGCATGTCTTTACAAACAGCTTTCCAAGATTAATCACCATGTCAACTTATTAAACATTATGCTGGTAAATGAAAGGAATCTGAAGTACCTTGTGTTAGAAAAAAAAAATGTAATCCCCTTTATAGTGTAGTAAACAGTTACATTTACATTTATGCATTTGGCAGACACTTCAATCCAAATCCATTTACAAAACATGCAACACACTTTAATAGCATGTGTTTCTTGGAATTAAAACCCATGACCTTGGCGTTCCTATTGCCTATTAACACATGCACTGCAATAATAATAAAATATGTATCTAGAGTTATTTATTTATTTTGTTAGTTGTTAGTATTGGGGGGGGGGGATTTTTCAGTAAAAATGATTTTAATTCATTATTTAATAATTCCATGAATTAAAGTTGCATTAGTAATCTACAGTCTAATGACAATGTTTCAAACACACACACACACACAATGATAAGCTGCAGTCTACTTTTCTGATTATTTTTTTCATTATTACATATTATTTTCTATATTATTTGTATATTTGTATATTACTTTTTTCATTATTAAATAAAACATATACATTTTTTTTTTCAAATCTGCCATCACTCAATTTGAGTAAACTATAGTACATATGAAGAGTTCAGATGCAAAAGCCTCTAAATGCCATTTGAAATTTTCTTCTTTAATGATGATTTTTATCAAACTTGTATATTTAAGTTCAGTAATTTAACTTAAATAACAATTAATAGGTAATTATCATTGCCATTTAAGTGAAATTACTGAACTTAAATATACAAGTTAGATAAAAATCATCATTAAATAAGAAAATTTCAAATGGCATTTAGATGCTTTTGCATCTGAACTCTTCATATATTTTATCTTAAAATTAATTATATACATGTTAAGATTTTGTAAAATTCAGATGACACCAGGGAGGCTTTAAAACTAAATGAACAAATGCTTCAATTAATTTGCTGTAATAATATATTGGATGATGCATCATTCAAAATTCATATTTAAATATGTTTTGTTGTATATTATTGATATAGTTCCCGATCTTAAACCACTGGGCTACAGTTCTACTGTACCTACCTAAATTAAAAAAAAAAAAAAAAAAGTTTTCTAGTTTAAGTATTAAAAGTATATTAGTTGCATCTGAAAGAGAATAGAATGAGTGTGGACACTGAGCAGATGTCCAGAGGGTCTGAAATGTAAAGCAGATTCCTGCTCACTTCCTGAGAGCAGCCACCAGTGCCCGTCAGTGCCCTGATGACATCATCTGTCATTCATCAGTTCCGTTAGGGCAGACCTCTGCCATCTGCTGCACGGCCAATCATAACTCTACATCTCTCTCCACACACACACATGCACGCACAGGCCATCAAAACTCCACATTCATCTTAACAGCCACAGCCTTATACAGGCTATCATAGGCCTGCATCCATCACTACAAACACGTAAAGGCCTCATAACCTCCTGAATCCATCTCCACACACACATGGCCAAACATGCACACACAGACTATCATAACTCACTTTAAACCACACAGCCCTGCGCTGACACTATCTTCACGCTGTCATAGCGGGCTGCCAATCACAGCAGAAGTGTTCACAACATTCTGTCTGCTACAAAACGAGAAAACACACAGGCCATGTCACCAACAGAACACAACACGATGATTCCGGCTGTCTAAATGGCAAGAACAAAGAACAATATCTCAATAACACGTTCTATTGATGTAACGCATCATGAACGAATTGCTAATGCCTTTTGATATATAGTTTAGTTCAATTTATCAAGGGATGCACAAATATATGCGTGTACCATTTTGAGCATGCTAATTTCCCCCATTTTTACATTACATTTTTCCTGTCATCTAACACCCACTTAATGTTCAAAACACTAATAATTTAACTAAATTAATTTTTATACAGTATATTTCAATGCATAGATTCACTTCATGACTTTAGTAGATAAAATATTCTAAATGAGAAAATCTGTAAAAATAAAATAATAATTTTTTATATTTAATTAAATACCTCAAAATTCTTGTTTATTCATTCAAAGCACAAAATGGTATGGGATAAGCTATACATCATGGTTTATACATTTATTTTAAGTGTTTAATTAAATTAATTATGGGCAATATTTTTATTATATTATATTATATTTTACAAGATACAACTAATTATAAGGTCATTACATCATTTGTTTTAAATCATTATATACTAGTTATTAAAAAGCCTAGAAATGTTATTTCTCATGCATTTTAGTTGAAGTATTAAACCCCAGAATGAGGCCCTCATACAGAATTAATACGTGTTTATGTGACTCCCTAAATCAAGCACAAACACGGCACGACTTGAGGAGCCCCTCTTCTGCCATCAGCATTCACTAACGCCAGCCAAGGCTTGGTAACAGCTGGTCCTACATTAATTAGTTTAAAGTATTTATTTCAACCATCTCCGCAGCAGATTGCAGCAAAACATAAGAGATTATTCCGAGCATCTGCAAATGCCCTGGAAACATTCAGCCAACCAACAGTTGAATATCAGCCGCCACTATTAAGACTTTACGATCCGAAATTCTTGGACGGAGGAGTGCTGTGAATCCATTGAGGGTCTCCACCAATCTCTCCCCGATTTAACAAGCATTTTACTCAAGATCATTACCGACAATGGGCGGCCGTGTATTTGCTCGTAATCAAATGTTAAAGAAAAACTTGTTTTAATGCTGTTCGATGGCATAGATTTGTGCAATCATTAACAGATCATGTAAACAGAGTGAATTTTATCAATTTGATGAAATTATTACATCACAGACTATGCTATTTATACACAGTATGTGTTTGTCTCTTTGTCTCATTTATGGCTCTGAATCTTTGGATGCCAAACATGTAGTGAAAAAGCAAACGAGAAACAATACAGGAGAATTGGATGTCAGAAGCCTGTATTTGGTTTGCAGCCACCATAGTCCTGGATTTGGTGTTGGCATTAATAATACATCATTGCTTAAACCAACTTCTGCTTTAGACTCAGCAGGACCTCGCCGCAAACACAATACTGGATCACAGGGTGGCTCATATTGCTTTGTTACTAGGAAACAATCTGTCATGCATTAGATAGCAAACAGCACATTTCATCTCAAATGACCAATTCAGCTCTCAAATAACTGAAATTTGCCGTTTTTTTTTTTTTTGGTTTTTTTTTGGTCAGTCTCCATTTACATTTGCCACACTTGAGTGCAATTGTGTCTGTGAGCATTCTCTTGTTTCTAGCACTCCATTTTGCCCAGGCTTTAGTTGTTTATTTCCTGCCATTGGTCCAGAATCATTGACTTGGACTTAATTACAGTGCCAGACGCCAGCATGATGAAGAGAGCGAAGGAGAGAGCTGTGTTTTCCAGGTGATATTTCTCCACCGGGGCTGCCAGCAGCAGCTGTGACAGGTCCGTTTGCAGCTTTCTGCCTCAAAAATGAAATCCTTATGAAATCCTTTTAGGTCAGCCGTGTCACAAATAACATTTCATGTGCAACTGTTTCGCTGGATAATAGGAGCCGCAAATAAAAATGGGACGCTGTAAATACGACGCATTTGGAATGAAATGCCATAATTTAAAACAACGCACATACTCACAATGACACGTAAACATGTGCGCATGCACACACACACACACAAACAGGCGCACGCTGTCCCTCCCTCTCGTGGCAGCAGTGGGAGTCCTTGACAGTGTTGTAGCAATGATAAATCACCTTTCCTGTTAATTCTCTCAGTCCTCATGTGTTGTGCTGCTAAAACAGGGGCTCAGAAATCAACTTGACAAAACTATAAATGTAAAAAAAAAATATCACTTGGAGGGATCTGGGCTTATCTTCAATTTACATGTTATTAGATTTGTATTGTGAGCGGCTGCGTTGAGGAAAAGGGGAGAGCGAAAAGAGATGTTTCGCGATAAGAGAAGATAAAACGTCTCGAACCACTTTCAAAAGCTTTTGATATCTTTGACGGAAAGTCATGACAAGGAGAGTGTAAAGCACTCGACTGATTTTTAATATGATAGACAAGGCACTCTGCGATGAATTGAGTGGAAACCTTGGGAAATTTAGCAACA